GAAGGCTGCAATTATCTACAGTGACCGTAAAACACAGTTAATTTAGGTTTAGATTCATAACTGGGAAAAACTTGATGTGCTGCCTCTAACCCAGTAACCCCAAACACACAAAATAACCAAGCAGTGAAGGGCAGCAGGAATCAAAATACAACTTGGATACAATTCATTTGCTAAGGAGCGATGCAGAATATAGCTGCTAACTTTTGGTGCCTGTTAGTCGAGGAATGACCTAAAAGCTGCCGTCAAATTATCAGGAGGTTTTGTGAAACCAGCTGTATGGCAAGATGTGATAGAAGTAAAACATATATGAAAGATTGAAACCTAAATAAACTAAAGTAGTGTTCGAAACCTTAGTAGCAGAAGCGGAGAATCAGCATATGCAACATAAAAGTGTCAGTGTCATCAACTTGGTGCTACACTCACTCCCACCAGGGTAACTGGGATCACATTTTGAGGCTTTATTTACAGTTTTCTAAGACTACGAGGAGTGTATGCATCAGTATATAGTAAGGCTATGGCAGCACAAATGGAAAGTTTTATTCTGCCTGCAGCGCTTGATATATGTATTTGCATAGAGAAGTCTATTATTTGCATATTCAGTTTCTGGACTGCTGATCAGAGCGTGGCATAGTGTACAGGAAAGGCCAACTACTGTGGAGATTAATGGGGGCCATAGAATTGCTAAGTTAGATGTGTTGGGTGTAGCCTTTGTGTATGATGGGCAGATGGTTTGTCCCCATACCAGCATTTTGTCTCCCACTTCAAGGGATACAGATGCCCCACTCCAACAATTACACACATCTGTATACAATTCAGTTGCACAATACATACTTTTCAATACTGACAAATTTGATCAGGAAATATGTTTAAAAAATGGAGCACCTCTGCAGTAAGATAAAATTTCTTGCATTACAGCTGTACCTAATGATAGCCATCTTTCAATAGTCTTTTTGTGGTATACAGGGTTTTTCCCGCATTGAGGAATTCTTGGTGCCCATGATGAAGCTTTAAGCCAGCCCCCAAGGAAAAGCATGAGCACCAGACTGATAAGAATTTAGAATAAAAATAGCAATTCTTTTTTTTTTTTCATCAGTTTAACCGGTGGTTTTCACCAGCCAAATACCCATTCTGAGCCAGAAACACAACAAGTATACCTGGCATTCTTGGATAAAGCATAGCAAAATCACTGTGACTTTAATAAACAGATCTTTTGGGGAGTGTCAGCCAGCATCCTTTATCTAGAAATACATTAGAGAGATTAGACATATCTGCCCCAGCATGATGTAACAAAAAGCCCAAGACATATACTGTAGCTTGTCAAAGCATTTATGCTGTCAGGAGTGTTGGAAGTAAGTTGTGCAAAAAAGCTGTTTTTCACCCATTGCTGAGTGTATACTTTTCACAACAAGGTAGAAAACAACACTTTCACTGGACTGTTTTCCTCTTGCTTCTTGGTACCAACAGTCTAACAGCATTTTTAAAACATTTAATATGATTACATATGATGTAAGTATCCTGAGTGCACCATGATAGAAGATTTTGTTTTGTTTGTTTGTAATCTCGAAACTACTGGAGTACACTGATGTTACGACGATGTTGTCAACCTTCACGTTAGTGTATCTGTCCCTGCAAAATCACCAAGAAAATTAATGTAGCCAGGGAACAATATCATGAACAGCATCAGTTTATTGAAAAAAAGCGAGAAACTGACCTGAGGAGCAACTGACAACAAGGCTGAAAAGATTCTCACACTTTAAACCTATGAGAAAGGATGGAGGTAAACCAAACACAATCCAGCTGATGAAGTGAATGCACACTTAAAATACTGAAACAGAGAACTGGGTTATGCATTCTTTCTTAGTCTAAGTAAATAGTTGTGCACACATTGTGGTTCTCAGGTGGAGTGCAGCGTTGCTGAAAGAAAATTACCCCTAAATGAACTCTAGCTATGAGCTCTTTTTTTTTTTTTTTAGAAATGGCAGAAAATGTAGCATTTGCTTATCTCTATGAATTCATAATGGCTACTTAATTCAAAACAGGAATGCAATTACAAAACAGCAACTTTATTAAAAATAGCTTGCAAGGACACAATCAGAGTCTTGTCAAACAGCAGTGGCTGTCAGACTATTTACATTTATCACCATCCAAAGCCACAGTCAGAATCTTTACAGGTCCCCATAGACGGAATTTGTACCGAACAGATTTTCATAAATCACAAATGTCTGCTAATATACAACCTATAAATGTTAATGCTTTTGTTTGAAGAGCAAATGGCATGTTTGACTAGTATGGTTTGCATGTCTGTTGTTTCATTACAACTTCATCCCTCCGTGCATGCCTTCCCATAGTTTAGACATTTTGAATTACAGTATTTCTGAAATGTTGTAATGCGTTCTTTAGGAATGTCTCGTAGCACCAGTTGTATCTTTTTCTCCTTCTCTCATTCCATCATTTTTGACGGGTTAGATAAATACTCTAGTTCTGCCCTTGTAATTATAGAACTTCTAAATAAGGAAAGCAATAACCTATTTTTTATTGCACAGATTTAGGGAAGGGGGGTGCAATAAAAGCCTAATAGTCCACATCATGAGGTCTCAGGTCTCATTTGAGGCTCCACAAAGCAAGCGTCCAAAGCGTCCTCTGCACCTTATCTTTCAATACTTCCAGTAATCCCAGAGAGGAACTGGCATCAAGTGAAAGCCACATAACTTCCAAAGGAGTCACCCTAAAAGTCACCAACATACAAGTCTTGGATGGATGTTTCAGCCTTGAGTCACCCTGTCTTTAGAAAATTAGGGGCCAGGCCAGACCTGCCTCATGGCAGTTCTCAGGAGTGGCCTCGCAGCACTCACTATCACAGCTAATGCTTACACTGATCTTGCACGCTGCAAACTGGTGCCTTAAAATAGCCAGTGGATTAACAACAATCAGGAGACAGATGCCATTGAGCTGACTTGGCTGCAGCTAAACATTAACAGAACCAATTATGTCTGCAGGGCTTTGTCTAACCAGACAGGTGAGGCAACAACCAAAGGCACAGACTGTACAAAAACTTTGAATGAAGTCACTAATATCTCAAAACAGCCAAGGACAGGATACTGGCTTTTGTGTGGAGAATTTCCTCTACAAGCAGTGAAACTACATCATGCGACGGAAGAGGAAAGACTCATACTGAAACAGAGCCTCTGATTAATACTGGGGTACGGATGTTTCTCTGAATCAATCAAAGTAGGGCAAAACTAATTAGGCTGTTGCACCAGCTCGTACGACAGAAAAGGGACAGGGTAGGAGGCCTAGGGGGACACTGTAATGAGGTCACAACCTCCCTATCCTCATCTTTGCAATGCTCCATTTTACAGGTTCCCTGAGAAAGTGTGTAACAAAAGGGTTTGTTTAGGTTCTGAATACTGTCGCTGCTTCTATATGCACATTGTGCTCACAGTTTACTATTTCACAGATTCGTTTTGACCTCCTAGACAGCCTTCATATGTTACAATTACCGGCTGAAACTGTTCATTTTGAATTCTATATAGGTTGACTGAGGCTAAGAAAAACTCATATTCAGTCAAATCTGTTTATATAAACATTCAGTCACCCAAAGCACCCTATCACAAAGGAATCTCTTGCAATCAGCGCACAAAAGTAGACACATAATGCAGTTTATCGGTGAAGAAGCTTGTGGTTGTCAAGGTAAATCACACTATCTGATTTCATCTCTATGGAAGCAAGGTGTGCCAGTGTAAACAGTGAAGCATCCCACAGGGTACAACCCACATCTGCAGTTAAAAACCTTTCTGTAGGCAGAACAACACTGTATTTTGACAGCATTTTTCTAGTGACACTGTATGTCCGGCTCATATGATCTGAAATACTCATCAACCTGCTGTCCAGCTTGTTTTTGACCAAGTGTGTGCAGATATAACTTTTTTTTTTTAAAGAAAACAAAAAATGAAAAGCAGCTAATTTGACAGGGAGAGAAAAGGACTGTGGTAAACAGCAAAGATGCAAATAAGACCATTTATGTGTGCAAACGTAGTTCCAGGATTAAGCTTCACTTTTCCATCTGAGTTACATGCTGGTTGTGGCTTCACTCTTTGTTTCAGCTCAAACTACAAGAAAACGCTCCGAATATGGGTCAGTGTTCGTGAATGCACCGTTCTGCAAACACCAGTGGGTAGCTGGAGCCAGCGTTCCACCGCTTCTCCACACGTTCACTAGTCCTCACCAGAGGAGACACTTTTCCAGCGCGCACTGTCCGACAAAACGCATTATTGCCATCCTGAGCAAAAAAGAAATACTAAATGTCAGCACAAGCGAGCCAGATGAAGGGACTCACCCAAAGCTCTGTTCCCCAATCCATGTTCAGCTTGTCGGCCAAGCTGAGTGACTATCCCGAATACAAAGAACTTCTCCAAAGTTATCCAGCAGCTCGGAGGACGGCCCTGGCCAGAATAATCCCGACGTGAGAAATAAATCGCAAACCACGACGCGGTGCGGTTTGTGTTTCTTCAACAAATAACGTGAATCGGCATCATAATTAACTAATTAACTTGGGATGGCAGTCGTTAGTCCAGTTTGTCCAAATATTTTTCATAGCGAAGGAAACAGGGACTAACTAGCTTTCGTATCCGCGTCACTCCCAAATCCTAAGTCTTAAAGGGGCAGCGCGCCCAGCCAGCCGCACACGAGCCTGACCGCTGGGACTGAGCTCCCTCCTGACAGCTTGGAGGGGGAGAAATTAAGTTTTTGTTGCTCTGTTCTACCCTGGTTTATATTAATTATATATATTTTTTTAAGGATCCACGAACATTTTGTGCCAGACATGCCGCGCGTCAGACTTACCCACATGAATCACATCATGGAGTTCATCATCAATCATCACACATTGTCCTCAGCAGCTGATGCTGTAACACACTGACTGATGCTGGCAGGTTTAGACATTCACACACAGCACGATTCAAGCCATGGATGACTCACAATGAAGAGCTGAGGCGTGGGAATGGGGTGCAGTTCTTTCTTCTTTTTTTTTTAATCAAACTCACCCTTTCAATTTTTCCACTTCATTAGCTGCAGCAGTGTCACATAAGGCCTATAGTTTACACAGCCCTAACCTACACTGTTTATACACATATACATTCCTTGTTGACTGTAAACACATGTAAAAATATATATATATCACAAAAAAACTTTCCAAATTAAAGCCCAGCATATTAATAATAATGGTTATTTTACTGTATGTGTAGCTTTATTACAGTTGCTTCATCAGTAGCTTTGCTTGGAAAACATGTGCTCACTACTGGTACCTCTCCTTTGTACAAAAGATATTTTTCCTCTGTTTCCGCAGGTGTGAAGTACAGTTCAGCGTGCACCACATAATCAAGCTGTTACCCCTTCAGATATAGTAGTCATGGGGACACTTGAACCATCCTTGGCGCTGTCAGGGACAAAATTATATTGTCCTTTTTTTTTCTGCTGTTTGAGTAAGACCAAGAGGAGCAGGATGATGATGATGACCAGTATAATAAGCAGCCCCACAACGACTGGCATGGGGATTCCACTGGATTTATCTGGAAGACAAGTGAAATAAAGTACCATAAATTGATAAAGTATTCCTCTTTTTTTTTCTGTGTATAGCAACATTAACATCACTTACAACTTCACTGTGTACATTTCCACACAGGGTCAATAATCCTACCTTTCATCTGCAGTGTGACAGATCTTGTCACTGTCCCAACTTTATTCGTGGCAACACAGCTGAAAACAGACGTGGTAGACGTGGCTTCTGTGACAGTGATGGTAATCTGGCGCCTCTCAGTGGCCTCCTTCACATTCGCTACAGAGCTGAACTTCCAGGAGATCACAGGGGAAGGGTTGCCCTCAGCACTGCAGTCTAAAGTCACATTTTCACCCAAGGTCACTTCCTTTGTGGAATTTCCCTCCTTGAATTCAGGGGCATCTGTCGGGAGGGGGGGGTGAGATTTGAGATGAAGAAATAATATGCAGGAAAAAGACTTCAGATTCACTACCAACATACAACGTTCAAAGACAATTTGTGTAATGCTAAAAAAAAAAAAAAAACTTACACAAAATATCAACATGCATAGTGTGTTCGGCTTGTCCATGTTTGTTGGTTGCTCTGAGTAAGTATTTTCCACTATCATGCTTTTTCCAGTGCTGTGAGGAATCCATGCTTTTTCCATCTTTAAACCAGGCAAGGGTGGGCACAGGTAATCCCTTTGGTTCACACTTGGTTTGGAGTATAGCATTCACTTCAACCTCATAGGTCTTATTACAGTCAAAAAACGGTTCATCTGTGAACATAATATCAACATAGTTTTCAGAGCAAACATTGGCAGAGTAAATATAAACTTGTCATAAATCTCTTTGATACGGTGCATGTGAAATCTCAGAAAATGATCTATATTGGAATGAAATATACAATCAGCCAGAGGATGCACTCACATTCGACTGTGATTTGAACAGAGAAGTTGCTACTGCCCAGGCTATTTTGAACTACAGCCGTGTACTTTCCAGAGTCAGACCTTCTGAGTGGCTTAGATGAACTGATCTGTTTATCCTCATAGAACCACTGAACAGTTGGTGGAGGGTTTCCTTCAGCTGGACAGGGCAACTTGTCCATACTGAACTTGTGTTCCACACGAGCGATATTGCTTGGACAAGCTTTGATGAACGGCTTATCTACAAGTAAATATCAGAACAGATTTATCGAAAATGTATATTTGGGAAGTATTTAGTGAGTTAAAAAAAAGTAAATAAAGAGTTGTGTGGAATGCTTACAGTGCACGACAGCAGTGTAAGGTGCTGATGTTTCAGAAGGGGGGAACTCTGGTCCGTTGGGTCCAAGTTGCAGCTCAGCCTTACATCTAAATATGGATCCATTGTATTCTCTCTTAGTGGTGATGTTGAGCTTAGAGGACACATCTTGTGGGGTTTTGATGGAGCTGACAATCCTGTCTGCGAACACAGTTTCATTGCCACGGTACCACTTCACTGTGAGACTCCCCGCTGGAGCTACACTGCTGATGTCACATTTCAACTGGTAGTCTGTGCCCTCCACCATCGGACCAGGATGCACTGCAGAGACTGACACTGTGTCTGGAGTCTCTGTAAATGAAGCAAAGAAAAATAACTGAAAAAAATCCAAGCATGATATTAATATCCCTAACATACAATCAGTATGCACAAACGCATTTACTAGTATTACTGAGTTATTGTTGGTTTATAACCCAGCCTGTTTTAATTTCATCATTAAAGATGCATACTTACTATAAAGAGTGACGTTTGGACTCTTTTGACACTGTTTTGTGTTACCATGTTCATCAAGAACATTCAGAGAAATGTAGCATGAAGGTACAGTAAAGTCTTTCAGTTGTTCAACGTTCCAAGTGACAACAGGAGGCGATTTAAATCCCGTGCCGCCAACTGGAGCCTCCCAGCCCATTCCCACAGCATCTGTGGCTGATGTGCTGCAGTTAACTGAAGCCGGATCTCCAAATCTCACCACAATTTCAGACGGCGTCATTGTGAGGGGGCAATCATCTGCTACTCACAAGCAAACATATTCAGTCAGCGCTTTGCTTTGGTACACAATAAGAAACGTATAATCGAAAAGATGATCAAGACTGACACTAGCTGTAAAGTCAGCAAGGATGTTTACCTGGTGGTGTGGCTGCCTCAGGGGTGGGCATGGCAGCAGGAGCGACTTCCATGCTCATTTTTATCACATGAACATGGAATTGCTTACTTGTGTTTCCCACATCATTGGTAGCTGTGCAGGTGTAGGTTGCGCTGTCATTTACTCGAGTAATGTTGAGACTGCTTGCACTCTCCAACATAGCAACCCCATTATAGGTCCAATGGAAGACAGGCAGAGGGTTCCCCTCAGCTTCACAAGTCAGAGTAACATCATCATCCTCAAGTAAAAAGATGTCCTCAGTATCATTTTTCAGCTCTGGAGCATCTAAAGAGGCAAATGTAGGCTTTAATTATTCAAATATTTAGATAAGTACACAGAGTTCCACTTTTCTGAATCTAAAAAAAAAAACGTTTATCTTGCCTTGAAACAACAGGATGTTTACTCACAGTGTGCCGAAACATTGTATGTTTTAGAAATAACAGGAAGTTGTGGTCCACCTGGCCCTAAGTCCAGCTGAGCCTCACATCTAATCCGAACTTCTTCTCTTCCTGTGCTGATGTTGAATGTCAGGACAGAAGTCTCATTTACCGGTGTTTTGGTTGTGTCGTTGAAAGAGCTGGTCCCGTTGAGTTGATCGTTTTTGTAAAACCTCACAGTGAGGTTTTGAACTGGAGCAACGTTGACGACGTCACACTTCAGCTCGTATCGTGTCTCTTCTGGTGTTGCTTGGACAAACTTTACCGAAGAAATGACTTCTGGATTCTCTATCAAAAAATAAAACAAAAACAAGATTAAAGTTAGTTAAATAAACACATTGTCTATGACTTTCAACTGTACTGTACGCATTTAAAATTCCACTTACTGTAAACAGTAATTTCAAGCTCTTTGCTGCATTCATGGGAGTCATTCAACTTTATTTTGCACTCGGCTCCCACATTCCAGTCTGACAGCAACACTGATTGGTCAACAAACATTTCATCCACTACGGGGGGAAAGCTTTTATTCCCAACTCTCCAGTAAATCATGTCGTGATCCTCAAATGTGCTGGTACAGTTAACCTTGACTTCCATTCCATATTCCTCTACGATCCGAGGAGGTTCCAGGCTGAGAGGATTGAGCTCTTCAGGGCATGCACTGTCTGCATCTGTGGACAGACAAACAGCAATTTAAAACAGACTTTGCTGCACTCTGGTGGCTCACTAACGCGTATACTCATTTATGCTGATAAATGGAACGCAGCACGCTGTCATGTTCAGAAAGTTTTCAGTAATCCGAGAGCTAAACCTCCAAACCTGTAATCTTGTCTCATCAGACTTTACCACTGTTCCATTGAAACAATCATCAATACTCATCATCAACACTCACACTTTTAACAGAGAGAACTTGCACCTAGCTTCTTTTTTTTTTTAAGACAATGCTAAATTTTAACTTTAAAATTAAATATGAGCTTCCTGTTTATATACGTTCCATCACCACACCCGGCTCCAGTTATAGTCAACAGCTATATCAGCGGAAGTTTTTTCACCACAGACATGATAACACCTGCCTCTCCCACTTCATATCACAAGTTTACTCTTATTTTTTAACATGTTTCACTTTACACAAAGTCAAATGCTACAACCACTACAATTTTCATCTTTTTGTCTTCCTTTACAATTCTCTAACAGTCATACAAAGAGAAAAATGTTTTCTATGATTTCATTTTCCGGCCCACGTTTCTGTAGCTACCACGGCAGGTACCACGTGGAAACTAAGAGCAAGCAACAAAACTACCCACGTATTTGAATGTGTTTTTATCGCAAACCATGGAATTAAATAACATAAAACATTTTAGATCAATGCAGACATGTTGCAGAGCATCACTATTACTCACCACGCTGTAAAAGCACAAGCAAGACAATGCCCAGAATCCTGAGAGCCACCATGTTAGATCAACTGCAGGAGATAGGAGATGGATGGAAGAGGTAAGGTGTGTTTCAGGATGGTCCAGAGGATGTCCAGCCTAAAGATCTCTATTAGATCAAACCTGGCACAGAGCTGGCCCCTAATGCTGCTGACACTTAAACAGGCTTAGGTAGAAAACGTGTTAGCTACAGGAAAAATTCAACGCCCAGATGTACAGGAAATTGCCTGTAAAGCGGAAATATGAAACCATGACCACAGTCAGCTGTTTGTGAAGCAATTGCACACGATATGATGCCCTCCTCCCATATTTTGTGTAGTCATTTACTGTGCCTTTTCAAAAGTGTTTATAAAACTGCAAAATGTCAAGTCTACTTTCACATTATTTTATTGAGAAGTACATTACAAGTTGAAAAACCTCTGGTTTGATCAGGAAATTGCAACACAGAGAGCATATTTGTTAACTTTCGTGCAATTTATCTATTAAACAGACATGAAAGGGTTGACATTGCTTGATTCTCTTTACATGGATGTGACATTTATCCACATTAGTTATGTGTTTAGTTCCCACATGGTCATAATGACACCATGTTATGTGGGTTTGATCATCATGGAAACTCTTTTCAGGGAGTAGGACCCTCCGTGGAACTCTGCCCAGTAGACCCCATCCTGGTAGCGGCTTCGATAGTGTCCACCCCGATACCACACACCATTCAGATTGGAGTGGGCACACATGTGATACCACCAGCCTCCCTTCTGATAATGAGCACAGTTACCTGATGGCACAACAGAGGGACAGAAAAAAACTTATTGACAGAAATATTCAGCAGACAACAGAGAGCTATCAGGAGGGGAGGAGCAGACCTGAGTAGCTGTCCTTGTCTCGATCCAAAGTGGTGAAGGCCTTGTTGTTGTGCCAGGAGAGGGAGTCCCCTGCATTGCCGTGGTATTGTCCTAACCGCAGTCGGTACCAGTCACTCTCTGGTTCCAGATGGAAGCTGTCATACTCAGCAAACACCTGCCGACCCTGCCAGTCCTCCAGGGCCACCCGTAGCTTATACTGGGCCTGTTTGGTTAGCCAGTAGAGGTGTTCCAGGCCGAGCCAGTACTCTCCATCTAGGTTCCCAAAGCCTTGCTGTAACACAGCGGCACATTGGTTTCAGCGTAATTTGCATAACTACTCTGATTTTAGACAAGCTAGAAGGATGCTTTTATCATTAGCAATATCTGGCAACAAGATGGATTGTCAGCTGATAAATGCATTCAAGTCCTCTTCAGGATGAACTGTAATCAGTTTGGTTATAACTTATTGTTCCCTTAGTATCACAAGCAGCCAGTGTTTTCACTTATCCTGTAAAATGTTTGCTACTGATATTAATAATAACTTCCACTTTCCCCATTAAGGTCACTGTACCAGGATCAGGCCATGTATGTCATTTTTCAAAGGTTCTCATGCTTTGTGTAGGAGCTGAAGAGGCTGTCTAATACTACAACAACTAAAAGGGATGCAGCATTTGTTGGGCTTTATATCTGCACCATCTGGTAGAGTTACAGCTTTTTGAACAGGTAACATCAATGTTTACTTTCTAACTGTAAGAATATTTTATTTCTAATTTACAGTTTTGGAGCTGTTACTGAATGGATTTGGGGATGATTTTTCAGGTTGAAATCTAAAGAAAAAAATGTTTAGGGCAAAAGGGGTTAATGCTGAATATTAATTGATATTAGCAAATGAATGAAAAATGACAATTGCGTATATACTTTCATAGGGGATAAGGCGTACCGCCTTTGGTAAATCTTGGATTCTTCCATAACTACAACCAACATGTTGATATTTTTGACTTTTGACAACTAGTTATTGATTCCCTGACTTGTATCATCATCAAGTCAAAATTTCAGTTCGTCCAATACTTTGGTTTATGACCAAATACCTGAAAGCATGGAAGAACCATCAGTGACATTAGCATTTAGAATGAAATTGTCACCATGCCGAGGTACAGCCTCATAGACCCTGGTCTTGTTTCTACTATTTCATCATTGTTTTCCATATTTTAAAGATGCATGAAATCACCTTGTACTGTTCCCAAGTCCTGAAGAAGTTGACCGACCCATCTTGTCTCCTCTGGATGACCGTCCACCCTCCCTGAGCCTGACTCTGCTCACACCAGGCCTGCAGGAGTCGGTTGGCGCTCTGTAGGCGGAGCAGGTAGATCCCACTGATGGCCTCACCTGATTCCAGCACATGCTGACAGTCCCTCCATGGCCCTGAGTTTGGAAAAAAAATATGCAACTATGTGAGGGTGTAAAAAAAATTACAAATAAAAGCAATATGAAGACATATTTTTGGAAGATTATAATATACATAATATTTTGAAATTTTATACCATCAAGTATTAATGTAGGAAATATAGACTGGATCTTTTAAATCTGAAATTTTTCTTTTTATTCATCGTCAAAACGATTTTGGGTCAGGGGTCATTGAGAGACGCAGTTTGGAAAACACAAAAGGGTGTTGCTTCAAGAAGGTGTTGCAACTTTGTTTGAATGTCAGGAAGATTACATATACACTAAAGCCTCAGTTTATCTATTTGGAGCTTAAGAATTTTTTCTCTAGTACATGGTCAGTGTCTTGTGTCACAGTGATAAGATGGACATTGGAATCTGCACTGATGAAATGTATACATAAAGGAAAATCTCCCACAACAGGCGATAACCTAATGGTCTGCCGTGACAAGCATGTTCACAAGATGTGGCAATGTGTGCTCTTTCATTAGACATTTTAGGAAGCTTTGAGTCACAGGCATCCTGGAGTCACTTTTGTTCTGCTAACTCAAATCCTCTTTGCGCAGTCCTTTGTTATTTCAAACATTCCAGTTGTGCAAGTTTACACTGGTAGTGCTACAAGTACGTCTTCATTATAAAGTTGCCTGTGCTCTGATTAGAGCTGCAAGCTGTTTTTGGCTTTGTTTAGGTCTTCCCAGAGAGATAGCACCTCCCACCAGCAGGTCACTGACCCCATCAGCTTCTGGTTCTTATCTCAGTCGTTAAATAATGCTGACAGAAAATGTACACATTTAAACACGCAAGTTTGACACGAATCATTTGCTGCTATAAGACAATTTTGCACACTGATGTACCTGGAGTCTTTGTGACGGGGAAGCTAACGAAGGGAGGTTCTGTAGGAGTGCTGGGGGTAGTGGTGGGGAGGGAGGGAACTCCCCCTGTGTGTGCTTGCTGTGGTGGAGGAGCACTTTGGTCCCTTTGAACATCATTGGTCATTTCGATGGCTTCAGAGCTGTAATTAGGATGCACAACAGACTGGCTTTTTGGTGGTTCAGTCAGCACCTGCACAAAAACAATACACCATCCTCAGTCCCTGTGCACAAACCCAGTAAAATCTGCAACATGCAGACCACAGTTTGGTCCCTACCAGAGAGGACTGGGTGGAGTCCCTGCACTGGCACTGCTTCTCCAGACGAGCAATAAACTGGTTCTGGGAGCTCATCATGGAGGTGAGGGCTCCGTATTTCTTCTCCAGCTCCCTGTAATTACTGGACACCTGCAGTGCCTGAGATGTCCCACAACAGACATAAAGGATGAGTCCACTAATGATTAAGATGAGATGTAGCTGTGCAGTGGCAGGAATCACACACTTACAGAGACTGCAATGCTCTGCTCACCTGTGTTGTAGCATTCAGCAGAAGGTTCTCCACCCTTTGTTGCTCCAAAGCCTGGTCTTTCTTATGTATGACTTCATGTAGCAGCTGTGCATAGAGCTGAGCAATACGAGAATTCATGCTGATGCTCTCTTTGCGCAGAGTCCTTACCTCCAAGGCAAGAGTCCCTTCTTGCTCCAGTTGGCCCCGGAGCTTCTCCAGTTGCTCCTGCTGCCGTCTGAGCTCCGCCCGCAGCGCTGCCACCTCTGAGTGGTTGGTAGTAGCAGACTGCGTGTTCAAACACAGCGCCCCTGTCAGCTTTTGTTGTGGAACAATGAAGGTGTAGGAGCAACGGCCTGCTTTTGCATCTGAAGAACGTGATGAACTTTTGTTTTCTGCATTGCTTCCCTCCTTCCGCCCCCCAGCTTGTGGTATATCCACACAAAGTGTAAGGAAAAGAGTCAGACCTATTGTCAGTGTCTTCTCCATGAATCTGACAACAACCTGGTAATGGAGTAGAAAACACAATTACCACAACAATAACACACACACAATGCAATGATTTAGAAACATTTCTTTCACTTTGATATATGCACATACATTTTGTATTCAAGGAAAAGAGTTTTTCGGTGGGTCTTGTCTGTTCACCAGATGCTTCTTCGTAAAGCTAAGCACACATTTCTCCCAAGCGGAAACTTAGCAGGTCAACACTGGAGGTTGACAACGGTCAACACAAACCAGCAAGAATCAACACAACTCTATCTCACAGTTAAACAGAACCACTGAGCTCCACATCCAGCCACCACAACCATGGTCAACATCATAAACAATGCAAACAGGTCATCTTACTCAAAGGTGTACAATTTTCTCATTGTGATATTTTACTGGTACCAAAAAACATGTGTTTATGTGTAAAATAATATCTTTTTTGGCAACTGAAAACAAACCACATATATTACTCGGTGCAAGAATAGGATTTTTTCTGGCACTAATGATTACCAATTCGCATTAGAATCATTTAAACAGTGCTGTACATTTTGCTATTCCCTACATTTTCCTAAAAAGTGAAAGATCAATTATAACTTACTGTAGCTGCTGTAAAGTGGGTTGGCTGTCTTTGTTCTGCTCCAGTGTGTAGCAGCAGCTCCCAACACGATGTAACGTTGAGACAAACACTTCTTAAAAATCACATGTTCAAAGATCACAAAGAGTCGCATAAACAATTAGAAGATTAGAAAGCGTTTGTGGTCCTTTGTAAAGGTTGAATTGAAGCTGATGGCAGACAGATTTGGCTACACTACGTCTCCAACCCCAGAGTTTCTGTCTCAGGGTCTCCAAAGAAGAAGGCAACTAATTACAAACCATCCTAATGACGCCGCCTCCCGGTACTTGTTGTTTGGCTGGTGCTCACTGAAGGAATCTGGAATGTCTCCTCCCTCTGCCATCACACTGTAATCCTGCCACAGACTCCATCCCACAACAACGTGTGGCATGCTGATGCTGTGATTTAAACGTTCATCCCATCATCTAAACATCTTTAATATGATTTGTGGCTTTTGTCCTCTGGTGTGAAGTTGGCACACTTTTTTAATCTGTGAGAGACGGTGTTCTCTCATTCCAAAAAATTCAGAATGGAATCCTTCCACACACTGGTACACTACCCTTGGAGGCTTCTAGGGATCCACATTCGGATGTGTCTTCTTGACAACATAGGAGTTTTTGTCTTTGACTGGTGAAGGCAGGAGGAAGAAATAAGAAAAAAAATCTTTTTTACTGAAATGAAAGTAGCAATACCTCTCTGTAAACACACTGTTAGTAAGTTCCCTCAGAGAAGACTGCTGCCACGCTACAGTTTCATATATGGATGCATATGTTTTGCATTGTTTTGATTAATTAGAGTGTTGTTGTTGTTGTTGTTGTTGTTGGATGACTCCATTTCCTTACACTCACAGTCACACCTCGTTTGTGACATCAAAGCTTATCAGGTTTGAGGTGGGAACAGATTGTGCAACTAGATAACAACAACAGCAAGAAACTATATCGAAATGTGGCTTTAAGATGCTATCACAACTGCTTGTGCTGCAGCAGGGGTTTCTCTATTGAAACTGCATGTTTCACCACATTGTGTGGCAAGCAATGTTCAGATCAGTAGAGCACCAAAATCCCCTATCACAAGTGACACCATTTGCATGTTGCACTGTGGGAAAGGTCCAATTCGCACAAAAGCGTTGCCAGTATCTCTGGTCTTGTTACTGGCAAACCCACAGACTTGTGAAAGCTCATTTGGTGCTAAGGGTGAAGAATGACGTTCCATGATTTACACTTTTTTTTTCTTTTCCTTTCTGTGGTTTCAAAGCAGCCTACAGAGTTGCACTTCTGCTATGCGAATGTGATGTAATTCATATCTTGCATATCAACTGCCTTTTCCTCGGAAAACTTGATGTAGTTAATGTATTGTTTAGTGGTTTATCGCAATGTAACAGTTTAAACAGTTTAAACTATAGCCTTTCATATTTATCTTTTTGAATAATCTAAAAGTATGGTTGCATAAATGAATGAACAAATAACATGCTTGTTTTTTTGTACAGTGTTCTTCTTCACTTGCTTATTTCTATGTTCATATCCTTCATATCAGTTACAATTTATTAATAATTATACTGTTTTATTCATGCAGCAGCTTTCAAAAACAATGGTGCTGTCATGTTAGTGTTCTGCCCTCTAGTGGTCACAATCATGATCTGCAATGAGTATTTGTCAAGCTGAAAGATGGACATAGCAACCGGCCCTGAAAAATGTCAACTCAACCCCGAAGTGTCACAATCCTGTAAAACCACAACTGGCTCCAAAACAAGACAGCTTTAATACGACTCAGGATTTTTTTCATTAGTTTTTTGTTATGGCCTGTGGCCAAAAGCTGTGTGAGTGGGACTCAAAACGAAGAGGAAGCGGGGTAAGGGAGTAACAGGGAGACCAGGGTGTGTGGGGCACCGGGAGGTAGGTGAGGGTATCCGGGGCAGGTGCGTTGGTCGCCGCGGTGAGGGGTGATCTCCCGTGCAGGTGTCCATGCTGGTGCTCGCGTGGTGATCTTCTCGTGCTGGCGCTCTAGTCGAGAGGAGATCCAAGCTTGTGAATCCATGGAGGTGAACAAAGCCTGCAGGGGTCTCAAACTCCGGTCCTCGAGGGCCGCAATCCTGCAAGTTTTAGATGTTTCCTTCTTCCAACACACCTGATTCAAATGATCAGGATCGTTATCAGGCTTCTGCAGAGCTTGATGCTGAGCTGATCATTTGAATCAGGTGTGTTGGAAGAAGGAAACATCTAAAACTTGCAGGATTGCGGCCCTCGAGGACCGGAGTTCGACACCCCTGCTGTAAGCCAAAGGAAGAAATATTTATTCCTGAAAAAAACGTGTCAGCAACAAATCTGAGACATGAATGCATTAGGACAATATGTAAGAGAAGCACAAGACAACATACAAACACACAAACAAAAATATCTGCAAGGACTTCTTTCTCAATTCTGCAACTTTCAGTTCAAGAGATTATTGAACACAACTGAAGGCTACGGCCACGAGTTTTTAAAAAGTGAAAAAAAATAAAGCAATTGATCTCCCTTCAAAAGAAAAAAAAGGTTATGTACGGTCTAGTGCAGGTCAGACGAGGTTAAAACGTGTTGAATTAACAGCATCAGTGCTTCATTCTTGCACTCCTCTGTTTTCTATGTGTGGCTGTTTACAGAGAAATACACGGTGATGGATGCACGATAACCACCTGCTGAAGATCAGTGACCGAGAGACTCAGTTGGTTTACGGGTGTCAGTGGCTGGAAAGTGACCCTCATTAAAGCGATAGAGAACTGACACTACACTTAAACAATCACATGAGTGTAAACATGGATGAGGAACTTCTCCTCTTTGTCTCAGTGTTGTTCTAATTTGCTCTTTCTCTTTATGGGTTTTTACAGAATCAAGACAAAGAACTCAAACTGAACCGCATGCGCATCTCAGACACCCAGAGATTTGTTGAATATTTAAAGGAGCAGCTGGAGTTGTGGCAAAAACAGTAATATGTTCCCCAAAAATATTTATGAAGTTTCACAGCCTGACTAAACAAATAAGGCAAATTTCACTGTGTGCAATAATGGTTATGCTTTATAATTGTATTTACTTGTAATATATGCCACAAGAAATGCATCACTTCATGTTCCTGTGCATCTATCAGTTACTGTATTTAAGTATAGCTTTTGAGATATTTGTATTAACATTTTAAATGAAAAAAGTATTCTCATTAAAGTATGAAAGTATGTGTTGTATGTATTGTAGTCACATGACAGTGTATTTATAAAGAAAAATGTAGTTTATGTTATTATATTTGATGTTTGTGGTAAAAACTGGAGATACTCTCTGTGTGGCTGCTATATTTGCGCAGGAGATGTATAATAATAATAAAAATAACACAAGATAGCAAACATATCTGAGCAGAAAAAGATATAAAAGAAACACAAGACAATATACGGTATAATATTCATCCCAGAAAAGTATAAAGTATCTTAAAGTACAAGTACCAGAACATTTTACTTAAATACAGTACTTGAGTAAATGTGTTTAATTACTTTCACATCAACTTTCTCTTTCATCTAAATTGTAATTTGAAAAATTATAAAACAAACAAAAAAAAAATAAAAGAAATTGAAAAATATATTTAAAAACTGATTATTGAAATGGAATGATCTCATTGATTCCTTTCAGTCTTGGTAGGCTGTGCCTACCCTGCCTGCACGCCACTGGGTGTTTCTCTCTGACTGGGGGCTTCTCCAACAGGTTGCTCTGCTGCTGCTGCTTCCTTCTTCAGGAACGTTTGGTTTGTGGATGCTATCCAGTGTTTATTTCGCAAGGGCTTTCCAGCAAGTTCGTCAATTTGCAAAAGGTCAAGTCAAAGTCCAAGTGCAAAAGGGAAATGAGCAAAGGTGTGCAGGCCTTTTATAAGCGCGCGTCTGTTCTGTTGCCATGGCTTCAAATAATGCACGCACACACCTGTGCTTGGCTAGTTTTCATATGAATCCGAATAAATGGTCGATATTGCCATAGAATGTCTTTGTTTCAAATGTTGACATTTTTCCATGGATGAGCATGAGTTTCCATCACCTCTGTCACAAATGCACAGAGGCCTGAAGTTATCTGAACTTTTTCTAACAGGATCAGCCTCTGATTGAAACATTATAGTGACAATAAGATAATAAAAAGGAAGTTATTGAACTAAAATTATTTTATAGTCCTGCAGCAGCTGATGTGTCCACACACAGCATCACTGCGGCCCATGACACGCTGAGTCATATCTGCAGCTTGACCATGTTAACACATCATTGTTACATCAACTTTTTATTGTCTCTGCAAGAGTGAAATATTCAGCTAGATATTAAGGGGGGACTGAGATGTATTTGCACTACTAAAAAAAACATTCATTTTGTATTTTTAGTCCCATAACACAGTCAAAACAGTGCAATGGGATTTTGTGTGTAATGGCAACTGATCTCAATAAAACTGTTCTGACAGCTCTGATTGAGAAAAATACAATTGTCATATAGACATGGCAGGGGGCTAGTTCTTGAATGATGGCTATGATGCAAACAAAAGTGCCTGAATAACTTTCTGAAGAAAAAGAGTCATGTGATGCGTTAAATGCCCCTTTTTATGTTAACGCACACAGAGTCTGAAGCAGAAAGTCTGAGTTGACAAAGAAAGTTGATAACCACCGTCGTGGTACCTGTGATCCCTGACTGGGGCTTTAGTTTTTGTCGAGTCGGCTTACACAAAGAAAACCTGACTATGTCAAACTTGTTTCATTGTACAGCCCTTTGGTGTGGAAAGATACAAACACAACTAGCACTTGTCTTCCATTTAATCACAAGTACTCAAAAGTTTTAAATAACATCTTTTAGAGTAAGCAGGACTTGATTTCCACATCAGCACTACACTATAAAGTTGTTTTTTGTATTAGTGTCCATAAAAGATGAATGAACAGTGTTGCACTGCGAAGGAATGGAGTAGGCCTGACAAGAAAATTAGTTGACCATAAATAGCTTCTGACAAAATTTGTCACAACTTATGATTAGTTTAAACAAAAATACAGGCCGGAGTCTATCCCAGCCAATTAAGGGCGAAGGCAGAGGACACCCTGGACAGGTCACCAGTCTATCGCAGGGCTACACTTAGAGACAGACAACCAAGCACACTCCCTGGACAATACATGAATAAAGTAAAAACAGAACGATGTATAAGTGTATAAAAGCTGCCCTTGTAAAACTACAAAAATATGACAGATGCAGGTACTGTCATTACGCAAAATTAACTGAGCTTCATATCTTTAAACACATGTAAAACTTAGAGGCTGGACTTTGAGGATTTCAAAGTTTGACAAGACATTCATTCAAATGCTGCCACCAGTCTCCTCCTCCTGCTCCTCAAACTGATCTACACCAGCTCAGCTAGGAACCAATATAAAGGAAGGGACTTGTACAATATCAGTCCTCAAGTTTCTTTGGGACGGCAAGGAGGAAAGTGTCGAAGAGAAGAGGTGATACTTACTAGGCTCCGAACAGGGCACACAGGATTAAATAAATACTTAGACTTGATAGGCAAGCATGGCACTGGAGATTGTGAGATATGTAGTGTACCTGAAATAGTAGAGCATGTCCTTATGAGCTGCATAAAGTATGACAGAGAGAGGAGTATAGCTAAAAGGAAAATTGAGGATGTAGACGAGACATTCCACCTGAGAGGCATATTATCTAAGCCATCAGAGCACAAAGTGATTAAAATTTTACTTGGCTTCTTACCAAACACAGGGCTTAGAAAAAGAATATAATTTGGTTTTTTTTTTCAGTTTGTTTTGTGTGTGTGTGTGTGTGTGTGTGTGTGTGTGTGTGTGTGTGTGTGTGTGTGTGGTTTGCATGCTACGCCTTTTTTCTGCAAAGATGTGAGCCATAAGAGTGATCGTTTACAATGCATCCGGAGGGTGGCGGTAGTGCGCTAAGTTAGTCCGCATCCCCCGTTAAACGCTCAAAGAAGAAGAAGAAGAAACTAGGAACCAACAGCCCTATGAGCAACACGAACATATTAGCGTGTGACACCGGGGGAGAACCATGTGGAGGGTGTTGCGTTGACTTCGGTGTTGAGATTTTGATACTGCTACTGAATGCATTTTTTTCCGAAATAATGAACGTAGTTCTTCTTGCTAGTTTAAATATAGTGTAGAGGATCATTATTGTGCGTGTGTTGACTAAATTCACCAACTTTGTTTCGAGGTGAATAATGGGCAAATCAAAGGTAAGTAACGGCCTGTGCTAGCAGGTTAGCCGATATGGACTTAAAGCTAACTTTGAAAAGGGTATTTCTTAATTATTCATTTGTGAAAATATAACTTGTATTATATTTCTTAATTGTTCACTTGTTAAAATATAACTTTGGGCTCTTTGGATACGTTGTCGTAAATTTAGCTTAGCTCCGTGGTGAAGTTTTTGTAATGTTAGCTGTCTTTTTAGCAAAGTTAACTTCGAGGTCCACTCGAGAACTGCGTCATTTTAACATTTTACCGCATTGTGCTTGTCAGACCAAGAACCAGAAGAAATCCCGAGCAGTAGCCAACCATGTGGCCGAAGAGACTTACGCAGCCGTGCCCCACTCCTTCGTGTTTCAGCGGGGTCAGGTTGGGAAAAACGTGGGTCAGCTCATCCTGGACGTGCGGAGAGTCATGGAGCCATTCACCGCAGAGTCACTGAAGGTCCGTGTGTCTGCTGATCACAGCTGTCTGTAGGACAGAAGACCACGTTGTTTTATATTAAGAAGAATTTTTGATTTGGGAGTTTGGGTTACTGCACACCTCTTCACAAATGTTTTGTCAAAGTACCCTTGTAAAGTTTTGTTACACACTCACCATGTCTGGCTTTTTTTTTTTTTTTTTTAATTGTATTTATTTTTATCCTTTGTAAAACCAGGTTCGGAAAAAGAATGTGCTAAAAGATTTTGTGGCCATCGCAGGACCGCTGGGAGTGACACACTTCATGATCTTCAGCAAAACACCCAGCAGTATCAACATGGTGAGACCATCATCAAAGTTAATCACACACTTCTTCCATGTTAAATTTGCACTGCTATCAACCTAACAACCCACTTCTTGTCCTTGCAGAGGCTTGCTCGACTTCCCAAAGGTCCCATGCTTCACTTCAGAGTCCTCAAGGTAAATATCATAACTTCTGAAGAAAGCTTGTTTAATGAAATATTGGGGTTTTGATGATGATATTTACAAACTTGACTGTTAAGTGATGTTTTTCAAAGTAAACGCACTGAATTGCCCAATCTACCCAAGTCATACTTACCTCCTTCCTTTTTCTTTCATTTATAAGCATTTTGCCATTTTTTTTCCAGTATTCTCTTGTCAAAGATGTGGTTTCATCTCTGAAGAAGCACAGGATGCATGAGCAGCAGTTCACCCATCACCCGCTGCTCATCCTCAACAACTTTGGAGTAGATGGCATGCATGTCAAACTCATGGCCACCATGTTTCAAAACATGTTTCCTTCCATAAATGTGCATTCGGTATGTTTTGCCTGTAAAACTGTTATCTTTTCGTCACTCTGGTTGACACAATTTTAAAAGCATTGTTGCATGATGAAAGTATAGTCTTCTGAGTTCTTGTGAAGATTTGTCAAAAGTAAACGCTTTCTGATATCTCTGTCAATGAGCTCTTCAGTAATGTGAAAGCTTAATCCTGAATACTAGTGAGAAATAATGGTGTTTTTCAGATAAGCCTCAACAACATCAAGAGGTGTGTGCTGTTAAATTACAACCCAGCGACCCAGGAAATCGAGTTTCGACATTAGTAAGTAAAAATATTTACCATGAAGTTAGTATTTGTTTTGTCAGTGATTGCATGTGATGAACCAGACTAGTTACGTGAATTCACATTGGATTTATTTTGGGTAAAACAATCCTGTTTAGTTGGGCTCAGATGATGACAGACCATGACTTGACTGTTCAGTGATGTATGTCCAAAGTAAACGCACTGATGGGCCCCTTACAGAATAAAGCACATTCCCGATTTTTAATTATCATGTCAAACTGACCAACGTGATCTTATTTCTAACCTGCAGCAGCCTGAAGGTGGTCCCTGTGGGAATGAGCCGCGGCGTCAAGAAGCTGATGCAGGAGAAGTTCCCCAACATGAGCAAGTTTGAGGATATCAGTGAGCTTCTGATGAAGTAAGGTTCTTATGAAGGTACAATTGTTGTAGTCCTGAGGCTGTAAAGTGTTTAGATTTGGAGCATAACTGGTGATTGTTTTGTGTTATGTGATGCAATATGTTGTGCTCTGTAACCACTTTCAGAGGGGCAAACCTTTCAGAAAGTGAACCTGAGCAAGACGGGGAGCACAACATAACTGAATTGCCACAGGTTTACTCTGGAAGAGGCAACATGGCGTCCCAACAGAGCGCTGTCCGTTTGACTGAAGTACGTATGCAGAGGCATTCACCTTTTTGAAAACGATCTGTCAGTGACGGATGAATAACGGCTAAATATTGAATTGTGTTGTCCTTAGATTGGTCCGCGCATGACTTTGCAGCTGACGAAGATTCAAGAAGGGATGGGCGATGGGAATATTCTTTATCACTCTACAAGTGAGTGCATTCCTAATTTTGTCTTTCTGCTTGTTGTATTTGGATGTATATGATGACAAAAGAAGTATGAGTTCCATGATTTCTCTCCAAAAGTAAACGCTTACTGATGCATCTAGAGCGCACATGGTTTTATGTGCACCTGTCACAACCAGTTTTTCAGTGGGAATTCTGTTATTTACCATAATTGCAGTCTCCAAGACAGAGGAAGAAATCCAGGAGATCTTGAAGAGGAAGGAGGCCCAGATAAAAGAGAAGGAGGCTCGCCGCACGAAGCAGGCGCAGAATGTTGCTCAAAAGAAGGAGCAACGGGAAGACCACAAGTAAATGGAAATAATTTGACCTTTTTGTTTTATCAATTGTTCACTTGGTTCAAGTGTAAATAGCATTTTTCCTTCTTGACAGGAAAAAGAGCCTGGAAGGCATTAAGAGGAAACATGCTGAAGCTGAGGAGGACAGTGAGGTGGAGGATCCAGGGGTGCAGGATGATAAGGCTGCTGTTGAATCCGATGATGAGGTGGAGTACTACAGACAGGCGGTGGGAGAGGAGCCAGATGAAGGTGACTGTCACTAATGAACTGTAAACTGTTTGCTCTAGAGTTTTTGTTTTTTTTATCTAAATGTTGACCAATATATGTTTTGTGCAGACATGTTCCCTAGTGCCAAGAAGAGACGGTTCTCAGAAAAGTCCCATGGACCTGCCAAGAAGAGGAAGCTGTCCCCTGGTAAACCCTCAGGAAAAGACAGAGACTCCAAATCACCAAAGAGAAAAGGACCAGGAGGACAGCACAGAGATAAAAAAGGAAAAGACCAACAGAGAAAAGGATGGAAGAAATCCAGAGATGGGGAGAAATCATTTGGACAGAAAATGAAACCCACAGGAAAAGCATTCGGAGTAAAGAGACATGGGGATAGAGAAAATAAGTTTGGTGGGAAAAAGAAATTTCATGGGAACAAAAATAAGGACAAACCATTCAGATCTAAAGGTCAGACAGACAAGTCGGGCTTTAAGAGGAAAGGTGCTGGAACAAAGCGAGGCTTCACACAGAGGAAAGGAAAAGGCTGAACTTTTTCGTCTGTCTGGACTTTTGGTGCAGTTTTATTCTGAAGCAGAAGATGGCAGCAAATACACATGTTCTGATTGCCACAGCTAGTGAAGTGTTTAGCTATAAGTGATGCTGCTTAGCAGATGGACAAAAAAAGAGCAACAAGCGCATCTTGGGAAGAGTGGGAGGAAAAACATGATGCAGCCATTCTTTTTAGAATAATACCTGGTTGGAGCCATATACTGAAATGTCTTTCCCTTTTTTCCACATTTATATTTGTCAACAAGACCATAACAATGCTGTATGCAGGCACTCCTTTTGATGTTGGGTTTGTTCTTTGTCAGTTGTATGCAAACATGTTCTTGTCGGTTCCAGATCTCTGAATTTGAAACTATACACAAGGAAAAAATAAAAGTCCTCTTTTTATGACTTTTGGTCCTTTTTGTATTTTAAGCTGAAGTAAGGGCAAATAATTGAAGGAGGATTTGATTTTCTTTTTTTAAAGCAGCAGGTATAACCTAAATTTCAACTAATGTTGTTCGTTAATTTAGCAGGAAACCTGTCAATCCAACAAGACTAATTTAATGCCACCCATGAAAATTAATTTTTTCACTGATGTCTTAGTGGAATGAATGACTTATAAATGGAGGTTAGTGTTGTACAAGTACAGGATATCATAGGATTAATAAATACATAAACTCGGCAGCTCTGCTTTTATGTAGACTTTAAAAACTAAAGGCCAAGCAACTACTGCCCTGGCTGAGATCTGATATTCAGCTATTTTGCGATTATCATTTTTTAAAATGGATACTTTTGCCTTTTTCTATCTGCCGCAAGTGACAAATAGCAGGGCTCCAGACTGCTTGCGACCTTCTCTTTGAGAGTGTGAATTGATGAGCATGATGATCATGAAGCTGTACTAGTGTCACTGTAACAGGAAGCTGCTGTGTTAACTACAGTAGTGGAAAGTCGGACTTTTATAACTTCGGTGGACCACAGTATCTACACTTCAAAATGAGGTCTTCTCATGAAAAACGGAGCGCATCTGCATTCGCTGTTTTTCCACTCACAGAAAAGATCACGTGTAGAATACATGTAACTGGGTTTAACCTCGGACAAATCTGCCATTAGAACGCCTTAGTTTATTATTTTTAGCGTCATTTTTGGTCGCAAACCGGTCAGAGCACACCACAGCCACCAAGGAGCATCTACTGCAGCCTGCAATGTGAATCATAAGAAAAGTTTTGTGTGTGAGCAGTTAATAATGTTAAATTAGATTATGATTAGAATATCCTCCAAAGGTAGAAAATTTGCATTCCTGAAAATAGCTGTGCCTGATGTTACTCATATTCTAATCCCCCCCGGTTACCACACTGTAATCTTGTGATCTTGAGCAACGTCCTGAATGCAGAACTATCTGACTGCTTACATGTCACAGATAATAGCCTAGCAACAGTGATTAATGTTCATAAGCTGTCTTTTAATTAGACTTACATTAAAAAAAAAAGGCATTCCAAAGAAGGTTTGCAGGGTTGCAGTTTATTTTCAATTTTAACTCTTTTCTTGCAAATGAATACCACCTCCAAATATTGGTTATGGGCCTTCTGGACTATTAATGTTATTGTGTGCTGGTATTGAGCTTGAAATCTAGAAAGATTAAATATACTGGTAATCTGATACTCTTTGGTTGTGTTTATTAGGATGACAGAGAGTGATAAAGCGCTTCAGCTGTTTCCTAACACTAACTCAGGGCTGTTTATTACCAATTTGTGCTGCAAATGCATGGCGCTGGGGTCACTGTAGTTTTGCTTCTCCAAATTGTGAAATACAGACAGAGGGTATGAGGAACTGACTTTGAGGTTGTTGTGAGTCATCTTCATCTCTCACTTTTATCGTAGCCTGAGCTACGTATGATAGTGGAGGGGTATTTCGTGCTGTCTTTGCAGATGTCACAGGAAATGAATCTTCAAAAGCGTACCCGTCTTCATGCCCTGCACATCTGCCTTTCGGTAAGTGAAGATCACTGCTTTCATTTCTGCATGTCTAATTATTAAGGTAAATCTCTGTTAGCAGTGTATCGTTTCAAAAATTTAATGTACACCGTTTTGTTTTAGCAAGTTGAAAATCAGTTCTTTCTCTGAAGAGCTTCTCTAACTTCCCCAACTTAACCGCAGAAATCAAATACAAATTATACTTGAGTCAAACTTATTCTCACTTATTCAAATGATGGAGTTTAATAATTTAGCTTTTTCCTCTTACAGGTATTGAGACGGTACAAATTTCATGAAAGCAGCTCAATAACAAAATAACTTTCAGCAGAAAGCAAGACGATGGCCAACTTCTCTGACTGCGAGAGGTTTCAAAAAGGCGTGCTGCCTGCGGTGTATGGGGTTGAGTTCATCGTGGCCTCGGCAGGAAACCTGTTTGCCCTGTGGCTGCTGGTTGTTAGAGAGAGACGGAACTGGCACACTGGAGTCATCCTGTCCTGCAACCTGGCCATCAGCGACCTGCTGTATGTCCTCACCCTGCCTTTGCAGATTGCCTACTACTCAATGGACAAGCACTGGGTGTTTGGTAACGCTGCATGTAAAATTGAGAAGTTTCTTTTCACCTGCAACCTATACGTGAGCATCTTCTTCATCATGGCGATAAGTGTGAACCGATGTGTGGCTCTCGTTTGGCCCTTCTTTACACGCTCTCACGTGGAGCCTGTCCACGCCAAGGCCATCAGTGTCATCATCTGGGTCATTGTGGGAGTCATTTCCTGCCCTGTGTTGAAATTTGCCTCCATTTGCCACGTTGAGAACAAGAAGAACACTCTGTGCATGTCCTACTGTGGTTCTGAAAATGAAAAGCCTCACTTCACTTACAAAGTATTTCTCGCTGTGTTTGGGTGTCTTCTTCCCTTCTTGGTTACTTTCACTGCTTACTGCGCAGTGATCCGGGTGGTGTGGCAAAATGTCACCATAACCACACTAGAGAAACGTAAAGTCGCCCTGTTAGTCGCATCAGTGCTTGTGCTGTATGCAGTTTCCTTCCTGCCCTATCATTTCTCTCAGACCTATCACTTGCATCTGAAACTTCAGGATCCCAACAATAATATCTGTTGGATCTACAACATGTACCAAGCGTCCAAGGGTCTGGCAAGTCTGAACATGTGCATCCATCCAATCCTTTACATGGCTGTGTTTGACAGTATAAGAGTAGCGTGTTGTGGGAAGAGCCCAGAGGAGAGATGAGAAAGTAGAGCTGTTGCTTGGTAGCTTTTGTGTAAAGTACATTTTTATTTCATGCTGGAAAAACTCTTTAAAAATTATATTTCTACAAAGAAGTTCCTTACAAGGAGATTTATTTTTGTAAGTGAGAAATGTCACTGTTCTGTTTTAACTTTGAAAACACAACCATAAGTAATAAAGATTTATTTACTTCCGTAATGTGTAACAACTTTGATTATCTCTTCTGATTAACTTCCTCTGACTCATGCATGCCAACCATTACAGGGATTTTGATTTATTTAAGTCCTAATTGGTGATACTGTCTATGACTGCACAAATAGTTTCACATTTAATAAGAGAAGTCAGGGTCAAATTTAAGTGAAATCGTTAAACTGAGATAAGAAAATTTAATGTATGTTATGTTATAGTTAAAGTCAAGGCAATATCAAATTTTGAAACTTAATTTTATGCATAAGTAACAAGTTTGTATAGTCAAAATGACTAGCAAGTAAGATTCCCCATAGTCCTTTTTTAAAGATACACACACACACACACACACACACACATACATATATACATATATATATATTTCAAAAGAAGACAGACATTGTTTTTAAGGGGGTGTCTAACCCCAGTTTATTCTAAATTCAAATTTGGCCTAATATAAGGATTTAATCCAGTTCTCCTGCTGAAGTGGTTTCCAACATTTTTCATGAACCAGTGTCGACTGTAACCTTCTAATCACATATCACACATGTGGCAGTAAGCAGTGATTAGATTTTTTTTTTTTATTTTGCAGTTTTATTTAAAGATTTTTAGAGACTTAAAATTGTAAAAGTATTCCACTATCCTTAACAAAAAAAAAGAACAAACATTAAATCAGAGAAATGTCCAAAAACTGTTTACTGTATTAAAATCTCCCTTAGTGATTTCTATGTTTTTTTTTTCAGTTTTAATTTTTAGAAGTTGACAGGGTTGAAATCGGCATAGGATTCAACACGATATAGCCATGTTTTTAAGTTATTGTCGACCCCACCAACTCAACGTTTAAAACTGCTTTAGAAACATGGACGGACTCTTATTGTGAAGCAAAACGCCATGCTTTTACTGCGAAGGCAGAACTGTGGCGGTGCGTGACGTTGAGGCGCGGCTCCCGGTCTGTTAGCTGCCCTGAAGCTAAGCTAGCCGAAAGGATGCCGTCGATTGAATACGACGAGTGAGTTTTCTTCAGAGAGTATTATTACTTTATGGTAATGCTTGGCGTATGATCTTGGTTTAATATTGACTATTTGTCTCTTTCTTCCAGCTCCAAGCCCAGCTGGGCAGACCAAGTCGAGGAGGAAGGAGATGAAGGTAAAGAGCTTCTTAGCATCCGTAGCTAATGCTAGCACAGCTCTTGTGGTCTGGTGGCCGTAGGACGAGGCCGGCTACGCGGCTTCCACTTCCACGTGGTTGTCGGGCATAATACTCGAGCTAAAATGTACTTACCCATGATGTTTTGATTATCTATCTGTTAAAGGCGTGTAATAGAAATTTTGAGTGACTGACATAGATTCCGTTGTTTTTAAGTGAAACGTGTGACTGACATATGCCGTCGCCTGCTGTAGCATGAGCAGGTCTTTCAGTAGACAGCTAATAGCTAGCAGGCTGCGTTAGCAATACATATGTGTTGCTGGAGTTACTTCAGGTGCTGCACAATTTATGTACTCAATTACTCAAAACTACACAAACGCAACATTTAAGAAAGAGGGCAGGAAAAATATTTCCTTGTCTAACAATGTCAATGACTAAACTCTGTTTTATTTTTTGTCAGGCACACTGCCATCTCCCAAGGAAACCATCAAAGGAAATATTAAAACTGTCACAGAATATAAAATAGATGATGATGGAAAGAAGTTCAAGGTAATTAAGTTTTATTAAGATTTACTTTGTCGCAGTTGTGCTTTGTATATGATTGCATTTTATGGGTGCAACCTTTGATTAAGCCCTTAAGCTGGTTTACAGAATGCATTTTAGTAGATGTGTTATGAGAGCATCACTGTGGTACAGATGTGTTTATTGGTTTGTCTTAATAACATCAGGGCTCTTGTCATTTGTAGAAATGGTTAAAATAGTTTGACATACTGTATTTGCATGCATACATATACCATTTGGCATGTAAAACAGAAAAACAACAGGTTTAGCAATTCATTGGTATAACATTGATTCTCTATCATCCTTGTTTACCTTAATTACTAAAAATAGAACTCGAAATATAATGTATGCTTCAAGGTGTTTCTATGTTGTAGTTAGTACCACAGACAGCAGTTTGGAACTTCCATTCATCATGCACATTTTGACTACAGTAAGAAAAACACTTGCATTTGTGAAATAAAATTGATGTACGAATGTCCTCTAGATTGTGCGGACCTTCAAGATTGAGACGAGGAAAGCCTCCAAAGCTGTTGCCAGAAGGAAGGTCTGTGTTTACACTGAATTATGATAAAGTTGCATTTACTTTGAAATGACTCTGGAAAAAGACTTCTGAAATCAGATGTGGTGTCACATAGTAAACTGCTCTATCGTTTTAGAACTGGAAGAAATTTGGAAACTCTGAGTTTGACGCACCAGGTCCTAATGTTGCCACCACCACAGTCAGCGATGATGTTTTCATGACTTTCATCTCCAGCAAAGAGGTGAGAATCAATTATGAGCCTTGCATTTTTTTGCTGCCTGTTACTAACCCAGTGCTTGCAAACACTTCAGATGGGTCTGTATTTGGTTGTGCCTGAATGCCCAATATGTTCTTTTGCAGGATTTGAACGCTCAAGACCAGGATGAGGATCCTATGAACAAACTGAAAGGGCAGAAGATTGTGTCTTGTCGTATTTGCAAAGGAGACCATTGGACCACCCGCTGTCCGTACAAGGACACCCTGGGCCCAATGCAGAAGGAGCTGGCTGAACAGCTTGGGCTTTCCACTGGAGACAAGGAGAAACCTGCTGGCTCTGGTACCCTCAGCCCACCATTCACACAACCAGATTATTTACTGTTGGTGGTTAATATTCCTAAAGTTGTCATTGTTAATTTGGCCTGATGTTTCCCCTCCTTTACCAGCGGAACCAGAGCCAGCACAGCCTGCACAGAGCAAGACAGGGAAGTATGTGCCCCCGAGCCTGAGGGATGGAGGCACAAGGAGAGGAGAGTCCATGCAGCCTAACCGCAGAGGTGGGTGTATGTTGGTGTAACCTCTAAGTCTAAACATCCATTCTCTACTGGAGTCATTGTACAACAACAATAGTCTTGCTCAGTATAAACACACTACGTTTGCACCTTACAGCTGATGACAATGCTACCATTCGTGTGACCAACCTGTCGGAGGACACCCGTGAGACAGACCTGCAGGAGCTCTTCAGACCATTTGGCTCCATCTCAAGGATTTACCTGGCCAAAGACAAGAACACGGGGCAGTCAAAGGTCTGTGCTGATTTTGCAATGGGAAGTTTTAGAGCAGACGTTTAACTTTGTGGATTGGAGACATCATTTGCAATAAGTTGTAGGCCGTAAATTGACGACAGTGTTTTTTCTTTAACTGCTTTTTGCATCTATTTAACGAAGTATGTAGTGTTGAGTTAATGACCAGCTGGCACTGCAGTTGTATTTTTCACAGCATGATGCCATTGTCTAATCTATCAATTGCTTACTGTGTTTTCTCAGGGATTTGCCTTCATCAGTTTCCACCGTCGGGAGGATGCAGCCAGAGCCATCGCAGGAGTGTCAGGATTCGGATATGATCATCTTATTCTCAACGTTGAATGGGCCAAGTAAGTTAATTGTTGGTTTTGTCAATTAAGTGATTAGCATTTCAAGTAAACTTGTTGCTGACCTAATTTACCTCTCTTTGCAGACCATCAAACAACTAAGAAATTCAACAGAATATGTTCCAGGAAGATGCCAGATTTTATTGTTGTGGTGAAATATGGCTGTTACCTAAATAAAAAGAAAAATTGTCACAATTTTCTTTTCAGTGTTGTCTTTCTTGTTTGCAATAACCAGCAGTTCTCTGTTTGTTAAAGCTACAGACATTGGCTCGATACTAAATCTATTAAGACCCAAGTGGCAATTAAAATGTGCTTTACAGCAGAACTTAATCTACAGATGTAAATACAAAAGAGAAGTAACTTTTAATCGTGCTATAATTCTTCCTTTGCTACATAAAAGGAACTCATGGTCAACTGTTTCTTGAACGTCAGTGCCTGCAATGAGTCCTGAATATTGTTCCAGCAGCGCAACACTGAAGCTTCGATACATGCTTCAAACCCTGAACTATAATTCCATAGAACTGCTTCAAAGCTTGTTTTAGTGTAAAGAAAATTCTGAAGTAAACTAGTTTCTCCAGCACTGCTCATTGAGGTGTGGCATGTATGTAATTAAAAGCCTCCCCTTCAGAATACCCTACCTCAGGGGTCTCGAACTGCAGTCCTCGAGGGCCGCAATCCTGCATGTTTTAGATGTTTCCTTCTTCCAACACACCTGATTCAAATGATCAGCTCAGCATCAAGCTCTGCAGAAGCCTGATAACGATCCTGATCATTTGAATCAGGTGTGTTGGAAGAAGGAAACATCTAAAACTTGCAGGATTGCGGCCCTCGAGGACCGGAGTTCGAGACCCCTGCCCTACCTCATTTGACTGCAGCCTTGTTATTCACCAGGAGAGGTCACTGTCACTGAAGCTTCAAGTAATGAACCCGTTATCGAAACAATTGGCTCAAATGGTTCAGGGCTTGACAAAAGCTTCATTTGCCATCAATACTAGACACAGGCCAGCTGACAGCCTTCCCTGGGCCTAGGACAAGATGATATTAGATGCCCCCCCCCTCGCTCCACTCACCCACATCTCCACTTTTCTTTGCTCTTCCTCTCCTCACCTTGCCTCCTCTTCTTCTCCTCTATTCTTCTTTCTTTACATCTCTTTCATCCATCTTGCTCAGACTGTCCGACTGGGCAGCAAGACCCTCCCGCTGCACTTTGACTCGCTCCCTCTCTCAGTCTCATCCGTGGTCTGACTCTGTCCCCCCTGGTGGACCAGCGGGCCCCTTCCTCCTCATCTCTGTTACCTGACGGCAGGTGGATCTCTCGCCTCGGCCTCTCTGACGGAGACACTAAACTCGTCCGTTTCTGTCAAACAACCCGTGTTTTGTCAGGATTTTTATCGCAGCTAATGGATATTAAGAGCTAGCTAAACAA